GCCCACAGACCACCAGTTGATAATTACAGTTGTAGCTTGTTTTGTGGCTCTAGACACATTTTGTTAGTGAGACAAAGAGCACAAATGGCTCTTTAGATTGTAAAGGTTGCAGACTCCTGCTCTATCCAGATCTGACGTGGAATCATTCAAGTAAGATTCAACTGTATCCCGAGTTTCCATTTTCTAAAACAAATATTATATAATATTCCTTCTTTTTTTGTTTGTTTTTTGTTTTTACAACATACAAAGCTTCTACGAAAGGTGGTAAACGCCATGAAGAACTTTTGTGAAGATGTGATGAAGCGGGAGTGTCAGAAATGGTAGGAAGTTCTTGAAGAGATGGAGGCCAATTTCAAGGTATTGAGATAGACTATGATGCAAAGTCAAATATACTTTGGATATACATGGCATTTCTATAATAACTAAATGTAACATTGTTATTTGGGCTATAGAATTGAACTATGTGCCTGGAAAATACATAATCCCCCCTTTAAATGATTTATTCAGAAAATGATGGTTCTAGTTGCATTTTTATGCTCCAATACACAGGGCACAGCCTATATATAATATAAATATATATATATATTTTTTTACTGCTGCCACTTTCTTTAACCCGAGTCTATTTCTTTTTCTCTGCCTGAGTCTGTTTCTTTGTCTCTGCCTGTCTTTGTTTGTTGCTATGTTTCTGCACATCTCCTCGCTGACAGATGCACACATGTCCACGCGTGCACACGCTCCCACTCAACCAGTGTCTCTTTGCCAGAGGCAGTGTAACTCTTGTTTGCACACTCCATATATATTTTACATTCTGACAATGTGACCAAAGTGATCATTATTCAAAATGTACTCCCACCTCCGATCCAAAGGACACGCAAGCAATCACTGACGCAATGTCCTACGTGTTTGAACTGCTGCAGGGGATCAGACTTGAGTGTGCGTTACTCAGAGTATGTTCTGTGTTGTGATTAATATTTCAGCTTTAGGGGAAATTAAAGTTTTAAAAAGCATTGTTTGTTTCTAGACAGCACGGTGGAGAATGTGATCTTTGAATGGAACTGAATCTTCGTGTACGTTTTATTGGATGTGAATGTGTGGGCATGTGTTCAAGAAAGAAACAGAGAAAGACAAATGAATTAAATGAGAAAATAAGATTCTTAGTTGTAGAGAGGTTAGGGCAGAATTATATGTTAATAAGTATAATATGATGTGTTTATGATCTTGGAGACTTCTGGTTTCTTGGACTGAACTCCTATTAAAACATCTCGGACCAAGGTTTGCGTGGAAGCATGTAAGTGTGTGTGAGCTTACAAAGCTAGACATAAAATGAACTGAGGGGCTGTGAGCGTGTGCATGTGTGATACGTTGTGTGTATTTTTGTGGAAGTGTGTGAGGTGAGAAAAGCAGTGTTCCCCACGGGTGCATGTCCACTGGCATCATATCAGCATAAATAAAGCAGGGCCTACGTCTAAGCCTTGCTTTCTATTTGTGTTTACATGTTCATGCTCTCTGCGTGTGCATGTATGTGCATGTCTGTGTTCTTTTAAATGTATATTATGGACTGCATGTGTAGCCTTGTGAGTTTGTGCTTAGAGTGAATGTACGTACAGTTTATTTATATTTAAGACATTATAATCTCTCCTATTGAGTGTGTCCTCATTATAAAGTAACACAATGTTCTTTACACCATGAAAAAAAGGTCCTGGATGAACTCCAGCATGTCCATATGTGCAAAGCTTAAAAGGACAGAGAACTGTTTGTGCACTGACGTGGAAATGAAATCCTTTCATCCTGTAATTTTCTTTTAAAAAAACAAAAAAGATTATATTACTTTTCTAAACCCTGTTTTTTATTGCATTTATCAAGCATCAGCACTGGTATTATCGAGTACTTCCTCGAGGCAAATACTGTAATTCAATTGTTTACGGGACAGAGCACACTCCTTCAACGAGTCATTCTGTGGAATTAAACCTGTGACCTTTAAGTCACAATGCACATTCTCTGCCCCAACACAAAGGCAAAGTGCAAAACCAAACAAGGTGACAACTTCACTAACAAGACAACAAGCTCAGAACAGAGAGTTTACATAAAGGTTCAGCTGAGAGCCCTGAGGCAGGGAATGGATTTAGGTAATGTCACTGTAAGCTGAGTAATGGGATGAACTCGTGTGACTCAGCACTAACGGAACCACACTGTAAACACAAGTAATTACTCACGAGTGCATCGTGAAATACTGCAAAACAACACACGGTTATTCTTGTCTTAGAGTGTGTGTCGGCCTCGCCTCCGGCCTTTTCAGTCACCAGCATGTTTCACCCCAAAGTGCTGGCGTGAAGCAGCCACACCATGCAAGCAAAGTGAAATTCTTTCATATATATACATGGAGGTGCTCATGCATTATAACAACATCAGCAGCTTGATAAGACCTCAGGCTTCGCTAAATTTGTGTCAGAGGGGAAAAAAGGACTAAAGACAGTACTATTTCTGAGAATGAATCAGTCTGCAAAAGTATAAAAAAAATACTGAACTAATCAAAGAAAGAGGCTGATCAAAGTTTACTTATAATGTTGACTGTGATCCTGACTGTGAACGTCAGGTTTACATGCAAAGCGTTCGACGAGCTTGACGCACAATTCGCTTGTCAAACGCTGGAGTTGGAAAATCTGAACTTTTGCAGCTCGACGTGGCACGTCAACCAATCAGAGAGACTTACAATATATATATTTTTTTACAACAGAGGCTAAAGCAGGAATATTCAATTGGCAGCCTGTGGGCCACATCTGGCCCACCAACAAGCCCCCCATCCCCAAATAAAACAAATAAAACCCTAACTTAAAAATCACTTGTAAATTTTAAATGCATGAATCAATAAACAAATTTGAAAAATAAAACATGACAATACTTCTATTTTACACAATGCAGAGGCTTTGAGGTATCGAGCAATTTAGTTGAATAGTCCTGGACTGAGGCATTGTTTCTGCTGTTTACCATGGCGTTGTGCCTGCAGTGTGTGGAGTTTGCACAGATTGTGCAACACGTTGGACTGCTGATGGATTGTTTTCAGTGACACAATCAATACCACTTCCAAGGTGTCCTTTAGCTAGAACCATTGATATATATTACTGGATTGGGCGTCACGTGACCTGGGCGTGCTTCGCAAGTGGGACTTTTATGCATTGAGCTAATGCTAACGCTAACCACTGAAGTCAATGAGCAAAACATAGTGCGGTGCAAACAAACGCTTTATAAATGGTTCAAATACTTTGCTATAAACTGCAGAAATTGTTACAATATGTTTAAAAGAGATAAATGGGTTATGTTTCAAAGGTAAATATTACGCATATTTAACCAAAATTAAATATTTTAATTGTAAAACCTGTATGCTAACATAAACAGCTTCAATTTTCATGTTTAACCTTATTTAAAATCGATTTTAGCTGTTGTCAAATATATTATTTACTGATATTAAACATGAAAATATGGACTTTATTGGATTGTTGACTAGTTAGACTGCATAATAATTCAGAAATTATGATGTAGGCTCACTAATGACAGACATTAATGTAATGTTTGAGCATCATAAACAAAATAGTCACGTTGTCAGACAGGTTGCTTTATTCAAATATGTTCTACATCCAGTATTTGTGTTTTTCAACATTTCCAGAGAAAAAGGAAGAAAAAATGTGTGCCAGCTGTGGGTCGGCTTCGGATACAGCCAGCATCATTGTGAAACTGAAGAATACTCAGTGATTAAATAAATTTGTTAAACAATTCTTTGTGACATGAAACAATTTGTATTTTTTAGTTTGATTTTACGGATGTTGAAATTATTTTAGTTTACAGCAAAAGCTTTTACAGTTTATATATATATATATATATATATATAT